ACTGGGCCGCCTCCCAGGCTCTGGCAGCCCCCCCACCCCACGTGCCCCTCCCCAGTCCACGTGTGGCGGCGCGCAGGCGGAACTCAAGAGAAGGAGGCTGTGACCTGCCTCTATCCAGGGACTGCTCTCAGGCGGGTCTGCTGCTCGCAGTGCGGGTCACCGCGTTTTTCAGGAGGAACCAGGGGTTGGGCAAATCTCTTGACACCCCTCTGGGCCTTAGTTGCTGTATCTATTAAGGGGATTAATGGCCTTCAGTCAAAGCAGCAGGCTACCGCTCCCGAGGGTGGAGCAGAAATCACCCTGCAACGTGCCCTGCTCTGAGGGCTAAGTCCCTAACCCGTCGGGGCCCCACCTAACATGCTGTGGGCTTCATTCATTCATTCTTTCCACAAGTGCTTATTGAACACCTACTAGGTCTCAGCCATCGCTGTGCCCAATCAGGACACTACAGTAGCCAAAACGAAGATCCTGGAGCCAGAATGAGGCTCTGTCCACAACTGGACCGTATGAGAAAAGCACTTGGTTCAAGTCTCTGAGGTCTCTCTGACCACGTGGGGCCTGCCCCAAGACTCAGGCTGACTGGGGCTGGGGTTATGGGCTGGCTTGGGGGGGATAAGCCACCCCTCTTGGGGGTGCCTTTCTCACTTTCATGAAAGAAATTAAAAACTTAAATTAAAAAAAAAAAAAGATTCCCATTTCCACTGAGCTTGTATTCTCTCTGAATTAAAAATAAGCATGCTATGGGGCTAGTAAGCGGTGTGGTGGTTAAGGCGCGCTGGACTCCTACATGGCTACTACACTTCAAGTCCTGGATCTGGCAGCTTGCTTTCTCACCTTTTCTCTCTCTCTGTCTCCTTCTTGCGCACATGTTCTATAGCAAATTTAAATCATAATAAAAAATAAATAATAAGCATAATAAACATGTGAAGTAAGTATAAAGAGTTTGAGGGGTTGAGAGATTATTTTTCCCTCCACGGATAAAAACTTCCCACATGTAAGACACGGTCATGTTTCAGGGGCTTTCTTACAGAGTTCCTGCTTCTGCAATATTCCTACCCTACAATTCTCTGACCCCACCTCCATGATAACACTGAGGGGCAGCTGTGAAACTGGAGCTCGGAGAGGCTGGGGGCTGAGCCCAAGGTCACCAGCAGCAAGTGGTCAGCTAAGAACTGAAATGCAGTTCTGCCTAGTGCCCTTAGCAGAGGGCACCCTTTATAGAGGATAGACTGGGCAGCACCCCACCCAAATCTAAGCCACTCTTTGGTGCTCTAGAGCCCCAGTCCTGCCCACAGGCGGAGCCACTTAGCAGGTGGTAGAGGACCTCCTACTGTGATGACCGCTGCCGTGCCCAGGACGTAGTAACCAAGCCTGGGCTCAGGGTCAGAAAGATCAGGTTCAGGAGGCCAGCTCCACTGCCTGCCAGCTCTGTAAACCTAGGGCCAGCAGCTCCATCTCCTGAGCTGTTTCCTCCTCCGCAGTGGTTAGCAGAACAGCCCCACCCCCCAGGGCTGCGGGGGCTGGGGTGGAAAGACATTGGTGTAATCTGTAAACTTAGCAGTACTATGTATGTCCTTGCTAGCTGTTGGCCTCAGGCTCCCTGTCTGTGCAGTGGGAATGCATTCAGCTCTGTGGCAACTCCTTCCCAGAGATTCCTGATGGGAGCAACAGCAATCCCTAGAGGTGCTGTGTAGAATGTTTCTAGAAGCCCGTGACCAAGTCCGTAACCCTGACACTGCTACTTGCTCTGTGAGGTTGGCAAAGCCTCTTTAATTCTCTGGAGCAGAGATGGGGTAGCA